GCTGTAGAATAAGCCTTTTAAGGTTCCCGTCACCTGGTCTACATATTTGCTTATATATGCATATATATATATATATGTATGTATATCTATCCAAGTGACGGAAACCTTAAATGGCTTATTCTACAGCAATTATACGATGAGGCAATCTTATGCCAAATACGGCGGTATTGTGTGTCTGGACACTCGACACAAGGGCAACAATACCTGGGGCTGGCAATTGGCCATTCTATATATATATATATATATTTATAATATACAATATATATAGATATATACATACACACACACACACACATACATATATATAAATATATAAATATTTATATTCCTTTTTACTAGCCACACCGTACCTTCAGAAACAAAGGCGTTCCGCAAGCCTTGACCTTGCCTTCGCTCATAATGGCCACTCTATCGCCCAGAATATCGGCCTCGTCCAGGAAGTGCGTGGTCAACAGAATAGTACGCGACTTCTTAAACTTTGTGATCAGATCCCACGTGGACCGTCGCGCTTGCGGATCCATACCACTGGTGGGCTCGTCCAGGAATACTACCTTCAAGGCAAATGTTGTAATAAGTTTTATGTCGTATATTGTGTGTCGTATACTATGTATATATCGTACATGAATTGCTTAGTTTTTCGCTTGAATATCGTAGGTTAAATATCGGCAACTAAAGCCGATGTGAATACTACGATCTAATAAGAGACTTCGTGATCAGATCCCCCGTGTCTATAGCTATAGTAAGATTTTTTTTTACCACATAATATTACTCGCACACTCGTATGTAGAAACTAGTTACTTACACTGCAGTATTTGCTGTATATTCAAGCGCAAGTCTGTTAAATACAAGCAGATGCTAGTCATATGTAGCAACGTAGATCGATCCACTAGTTTCGATCACTAATGAAAGTATATCATGAGGCTGTGATCAATCCCGCTGTAGGGGTGCACCGTAGGGGGTGAAGCGTACTATAGAGTACAGCACCATGCTTTTTGGGTTTAGGGTTTAAGGTTTTAGGGGTATAGGATTTTAGGTCACCATTTGGTAAAGCCATGCATGAGACACGAACTATGCCCATGATGCAAACACTGCTGGTGGATGAAGTGTCAGCAGTTTGCAAGCGCCAACCCTAAACCCTAAATTCTGACCCAAAAGCTGGTGCTGATACGGATCACAAATATTCGATAGTCCACACCACACTAAGTAAGATCTGCCGACAGACAATAACATAATAATCGAGCAAACTATGACACACACACGCCTCCCCCAAACACTCCCAAGGAAATCTCAAAAGGTGAATGCGTACTATGCCGCTCTTGACAGTATGTATACTAACATTGAGGTTTGTACGGATCAACACAAGTGCTATACATACATGCTCACACACGTCAGATAACACAAACACAAACCACGCACTTTAAAACAACCCATGCGACGATACTCACCAGGTTAAAGCTATTTTCAACCACGGGTCAGTTAAGTGTACATACTAACCCTGGTGTACACACTAACTATCCCCAGGCACACATCCAGCATCACAAAACACCCACCTTAGAACAACCCATGCGACGATACTCACAAACACCCACCTTAGAACCACCCATAAATGCGATGCCCACGCAGAGCTTGCGCTTCATGCCGCCGCTGAGTCCACTGGGGAAGTAGTCGCGCTTCTCGTCCATAGCCAGATCCTCCAACATGACATCAATCTCTCGCGTGATGTCGGACTTGGGAATGCCCTTGAGGGTGCCAAAGAAGTCTAGCTGCTCAGCAACTGTCAAGCCTGTGAGGGATATATTCGATGAAGAGTGGTGTGATTTGGAACTGGTTTAGGGTTTAGGGGGTTTTTAAAGGGGTTGTAGGGGTTGTAGGGGTTTGGATTCGATCGCGGATAATTTCTGGAAACGGATAGGAGCGGTATATGAAATCTTTTTGGGTTTCTCTCTCTCAAAACAACATAAGCAAGATCGGGGACGGGCTTCTGGCAGAAACCAATTCAACATTAACATTTTATTTCGATGCCATATTGGTTAAAAACAACAATTGAGTACACACATTCGAGGTTTAAGTCGTATGTATGTACCTGCACACAACACAATCGAGGTATAAACAGTATGTATGTTCCTGCAGATAATACAATCGAAGTATAAACAGTATGTCTATACACATAAATACCACATAGGAAGTTAACATAATCGAGGCATAAACAGTATGTATGCTCCTGCAGATAATAAAATGAAGTATAAACAGTATGTATGTACCCTCAAACAACACAATCGAAGTATAAACAGCATATATACCTGAAAATAACACAATTGAAGTATAAACAGCATATGCACCTAGAAATAAAACAATCGATGTATAGACAGCATATGTACCTGAAAATAACACAATCGATGTATAAACAGCATATGTACCTGAAAATAACACAATCGAAGTATAAACAGCATATGTATCTGAAAATAACACAATCGAAGTATAAACAGCATATGTACCTGAAAATAACGTGTTGACTTGTGGACAGAGCCCCAGCACGCGTCGGCATTCATCGATGTCTGTGCGGATGTTGTATCCGTTGATGAAGGCGCTGCCAGATGTGGGTTCGTAGATACCTGATGGCATGGAAAGGTGTGGTTGCCATGGTAATGAGGTGACATACAGATGTGGGTTTGTAGATACCTAATGGCATGGAAAGGTGTGGTTGCCATGGTAATGAGGTGACATACAGATGTGGGTTTGTAGATATCTGATGCCATGGGAAGGTGTGGTTGCCATGGTAATGAGGTGACATACAGATGTGGGTTTGTAGATATCTGACGGCATGGGAAGGTGTGGTTGCCATGGTAATGAGGTGACATACAGATGTGGGTTTGTAGATACCTGATGGCATGGAAAGGTGTGGTTGCCATGGTAATGAGGTGACATACAGATGTGGGTTTGTAGATACCTGATGGCATGGAAAGGTGTCGTTGCCATGGTAATGAAGTGACATACAGATGTGGGTTTGTAGATACCTGATGGCATGGAAAGGTGTGGTTGACATAGTAATAAGGTGACATACGACAGTTCAGGAACTATATAGCTGTAATCCTTGTGTGCAAGTGTTATTGACTCATCCTGAGGTGGCATAAGACTGACAGATACATGCATAGCTTATATTGCTATACACACCTGGACTTGGAAGTGAGTGGTTGGCATAGTAACGAGGGGACATACGACAGTTCGCTACATAGCTGCAATTTCTATGTACAAGTGTTATTGACTTAGCATGAGGTGAAATAAAGCTGACTGTTACACAGCCTATAATGTTATAACCCACTTGTCCCAAGCTAAGAAATTATACTATGGCGCCTGCAAACCGAATGAATTGAGAGGTTTGAACTATCGGCATGCATAGGTCCCTTCCCATACACAATTAAGAACGGTCGCAATGGCTATAAAGATGATGGGCCCAATCAAATTACGTTAATTGGATTTGCGATTACTTGCATGTGATGTATTACTCTGTACATGATACTCTAGAAGTACACACACAAAGCATGTATGTCAGCAGCTGAAGTAAAGGGTATTTATTCACATAAATACGTAACTACATATTTATAATTGTGTGCATGAAAGACGTTTTTCGATTCCGTTCACACGTCTAAACGAGTTCAGATGCACATATCTCAATTTGAGCACAGTTGACGGCTGGTACAATATTTACTTCTAACACAGGCGTGTATTTACAAATTTGATACTAGGCCCGCTTCTCAAAATATATATATGTGTGTGTGTATGTGTTTGTATATATATTATTATAAAATATTTTATAATAATACCATAAAAAATAGTAATAATAATAATGATATACTAATATAATAATAATAATGTATATATATAATACAATATTATTATGTAACAATTTGATAATATAATAATATAATATATCTATAGATTTATATATGTGCGTACATAAGCATACCTGTAAGCATAGACATGGTAGACGTCTTTCCAGCACCGTTGTGCCCCAATAGGCATGTAACGTCGTTCTCGTACATCTTCAGGGAGACTCCATTCACAGCTAACTTGCCGTTCGAATATTGCTGTGTGAGAATACGCCAGGCGTGTTTAAGGCTATACTCGCGCCATTTCGGAATGAGATGTATGCGTACAACGCGTGGCATGTATATGTTTGTGTTGTCTGTGCACAATCACAAGTATACATAATATGCCTACAAGTTCGTTCGCAGATCTGTACTTTGATAGCAGCCTGTTCAGATTGCAATACTAGATAAATACGTCTATAGTCCTTTGCGCATACCGGTGTGCGGGTATTGCGAATCAGTATAACGTTGACTACATACATATTACTGTAGGTTTTGACATCTCTTTTCAGTAATATAAGATAATCCAAAAGTTTTATCAGATTACATGAACTGTATATATATATATATTTATGTATATAATGGTATATAAATAATATTCGAATCAGAATTTGTACATGTATATATACACATACCTAAATATATGTACATACATTGGCCAGATTATATTTCCATAACTTTCACCGATTATTTTTATGATTAACCCTACTTTCACGCTACCACGCCCGAACCCTTAACAGCATCTTTGTACACACAAACACTCTACAACACACTCGTAATCGCTGTCACATTTGTGCCGTCAATGCAGACAGACATCATTCGAATATACTAAACATACAATTTAGTTCGACACATTTATAGTGCATCACGTGAATCTACTACGGCTAGAAGGAACAAATTTGATCTGTACTTGAAACAATATCGGGATGTGCAATACCAATTTGCGAATTGAATGGAGATTTAGGTTCAAATTCGGAAACAAAATGGGAGTGTCAGTTTGAAAGATACGGATAAAAACATTTGGCTAAATACTTGGTTCTAACATTGCGTGATCACTCGAACAAACAACAGTCTGTAAATACTTATCTTTACCAGGTTAACCAAATTTATGTATATATTTCCCTTAATAAGACTAAAGAAAATCTGTATATATAAAAATATACGTACACATATGCGTGAATTTTTTTTACAAATATACATGTACACATTCCTACGCAGGTTTGTATAATAATATACATTTACCGTGACGGTTTGATTGAGTGTCTGTATATACACCTACCTTGACTAGGTTGTTGACTACCACGCCTGATGTCCTGCCCTCCTCTTCTGCCTCGATCACGGCGTCGTCGTCATTGATAATGGTTGTCTGTTATGAAACGTGTATATATGTATATGTATACATTGAAATAGATATATATATACATTACATGACTTCCCTGACAATGACGTTTTCTAGAAATATAGATATACATTACCCGTTAAACAGCTCAGGATACCCCATATACAATAATTTTATACCGTATATAGCAATTCGATTCTACCATATATAGCAGTTCAGCTACAGTGCTTGAATAAGGAAATGCAAAAATAAACAGGAGTGTCAGTGCGCGTCAGCGTACTTACCGACATATTGGCAACTGTGACATCGTCGCCTAGATCGCTGCGGCGCTTGGCGGGCGATTGCCAGTACTTCTTGGTGAAGAGAAAGTACCAGGGCTGGGCCACCCCAAACTCGCCTGGGAACACACGCTCGACGTAGAACGTGACGAACAGGAACAGGAACGTGCCCAGCCACATCATGGTTATCACCAAACCCTAATTTGATTTGGATTGAATTTGAATTTGGAAAGACGTAGAACGTGATGAACAGAAACTGGAACGTGCCCAGCCACATCATGGTTATCACCAGATCCTAATTTGATTGGGTGAGGACGAAATGGGAACAAACCAGAAAAGTAGAGAATACGGAATGTAACTGATCGCATTATTGTTGTCACCAGACCCTAATTGAATTGAATTTCGAGGGTAAGACGATAATAACAAATCACAGAACCACCCCGCCCGTCTGAGCTTGGCATCCGCGACTTCATAGTGATAGTGATAGTAATAGTTGATAGTAATAGTTGTCACAAACCCTGAAACCCTGGACCTTCAAACCCCTGAACCCTATATCAGTCAACTATACAACAAGCAACCAGAATTTAAAGCCGGATGTCATGGGCAAGTGTCTGATTCAGAGTTTTAGGATTCAGGTAAGCGTCTGCTGAGACCATGCCTTGTACCTGTCAGTTCACTATATGCATCGCGCAACACATCACCGACAATAACAAACCTATGACCGCTTAGGCGTATACCCATCGGAGAAACAGCATCCCATAAACTGCGTGTACGACAATCGCAGGCGCACTATTCTGACCCAACGACTCACCAGACTCATTTCAGAGTCATACGACGCTCCACTGAACAGTTTAGACCACGTTAGAGGACTGGCAAGTTCTTCGAACTGTCCAATGACTGTCCACCCCCACGCCTGGGCTGAGTTCACAAACAGCGACGACCATGCTACTTGTACGGCCGAGGGCTGTCCTCCTGACGAGCTATAGGCATAGGCATGTCATGGTACGCGTGAGTGAGAGCTATATGTAAGTGAAAACGTGTGAGTGAGTATATATAAGTGAAAAAGTGTGAGTGAGCTATATATAAGTGAAAAAGTGTGAGTGAGTTTATGTAAGTGAAAAAGTGTGAGTGAGCATATGTAAGTGAAAAAGTGTGAGTGAGCTATATGTAGTAAAAAAGTGTGAGTGAGTATATGTAAGTGAAAAAGTGTCAGTGCGCATGTCAGCGAACACCTTGTGCCCACGCACGCATCCAGTAGATGCGTATCAAGAGCACATACTCCCATACCGATATTAGCCAATGTGTTGTTGGATACCACCATGACAGTTGTACGGCTGATGGCTTTCTTCCCGTTAAACTGTATGCATAGGCTTGTCCTAGTGCGTGTGTTTTTATAGTGAACAACTGTATACGAGATCAAATACAGCCAGATTCGTATAATAGTGAATGTGACTGCTTGTGTGTACGCAAGTGTTTCGTATCATCTCAAACATGTTATATATATATATATACATAAATTTATAACTATATATATATATATATAAATATCTATATATACGTATGTGTGTGTTTATAATATAGTATATATATATACATTGTCTTACATTGTCACCAACTGGAAGGGCAGGAAGGTGAGCATGAAGATAATAGCCGACCCAGGCGCAGCGATCTTGGCACTCTGGAAGAACGTTGACATCATAAACGAAATAGCAATGACCTCCACCTGTGTCAACGAAAGAGCGAAGACAAGAACGGGGATATGAATAAATAAATAACATGCGAAAGTAATATATATATATATATAAAGATATATATATATATTATACATCTGTAGTAGAAAGAAACCATGAGGGGGTAATACTATCCCATTGGGTACATGTTTTCTGATAAGACTGTTCAATTGCCTGAATCTTCGCCAACTTATTGAAAAACGCGTATAACCCTATGGCATGTTGATATGTATCCGGTCGAGAATTAAATCATTTCATTCAAAGGCCTGCCTCATGGTCTCGTTTGATAGGCTCTGACCAAGGTCCGTACTGGTATAGACGCCCGCATACATAGCCCATATCGGTGTAACGACGCATACATAGCCCCGTATCGGTGTAATGCACATATACACACGCATTCTTACCACGAAGGAGAAGTAGAAGAAGGTGATTACGCTCATGTCGGAGTACAGCACGATGTCGCCAAACGACAGGATGCACAGTGAGATGATCGTCGAGATTGCCAGCAGGATGAAGCTCTTGAGGAACCACGCAGTCCAGTTGGTGGTGGCCGAGAGCCCCATCATCTTCATGGCTTCCTAGTTGAACGTAGCGCACGTACAGGTTGACACAGGTTTGGTCACTCGAGGTATAGTAGCGTTATACGAAATCTAAAACCCTAAACTCTAAAGGTTATAGATGGCTCGAAGGTGGTTGCTTGAATATTTCTCGCCTGCTTTGTGTGAGAATGGCTATGGGTGTGTTGAATATAGAGGATGACAGGTCCTTAGACGGTCTGTATCTACTACTCTTAAGCAACCACACCGTTCAACAAGTGGTGAGAGCTTTATCGCCTTCATGGCTTTGTACTAGGGTGTTAACCACGTGCACACGTGGAGAATTGTGAGGTCTATGTGACAGACTTGGTTGAGTATATCACTGCAGGCAATGAGAAACACATATACTGTCAGTATCTTGCTATTGAGTAGCCGTACAGCCCAGGTCGTGTTGGGCGGAAGGCCCACCATCTTCACAAAGACCCATTTAAACACTGATGTATCTGTGCTTGCAGGTGTATCAACAAAAGAATGCTAAGACAAACACACCAGAATCGGTACCAGTTTATACATCTGGTGATTAGATATCGACGATAACTGTCAGTTACATAAGAATGAAGTACATACTAAAAGGGCATTCTCTCACGTGCTAGTGGTATAGAGCCCTGCCATGCAATTGTACACAACACTGTGCGTGCGGGGTACTGTGTATCTCGTTGGTGGACAAATGATGCAAGCGGTCTCTGCAGGACCCATGCCATCCCAATACCAACACAAATACGGAATACAAGCCCTTCCCGTACAATCTCTCGTATATTCGTCGAGTACGACAATACAACAATACACCAAGCTACACAGAGATCCATCCACGTAATACCTTAAGCCTGAGTTCCTTCTCCAGTACCACTTCGCGGGTGGTGGTGAGCACGGGGTACGTATAGGCGAGCACCAGAATCAACGGCATGGTAAACTTGATGCCAAACTGTGGAAATGATCGAACACGGGGTGAGGATGTTTTGCTGATAAAAAGAGTGGTCTGAAAAGAGCTTTTTTTTATATCGCAAAATGGGTTGGAAAACCAGTTATCGGATCAATTTGAATCGCAGCAAGAAGGTTGGGGGCGAATTGATGTTGGATATGTGTACCACAAACACGCACATATGTATCGAGCAATTTATAGATACTTTCAATATCCTTCGAACTTATACATGCGTCGATTTCTACTTGCATAAAAATCTTCACGGATAAAAACAATGCACATATGCCTGGATATAGTATGGCCTCATGCTCGATCAAAACCTAGAAACATAGAAACAAAGCCTGGTTTTACATTCGAGCCTTATTAAGTATGCGTACTCACTTACTTGCATATCTATCCCACATCTTTCTAGTGTATACGCACACATCTGTACTAAAAAATATGTAATATGCATATAATAGGAAGTATACCCGTTGAATGTTCGGATCCAACATCGCTATGCTTCAGTGTGTATACTGATATATGATTGCGCGTGTATGTGTGCACACACAGCTCACATTACATTACAGGGCACGATCACGTTGCCGTCGCACAGACTACCAGAGCAACACGCATAGCAACAACAGCCCTATACGCTATATACAACACATACATACCGTCGCAAACTGATTGAGAATATACTCAGCAAAGGGAAAGGTCTGCACTCGGTAGTCAATGTTCTGCTGAACATCAGCGCCCAAAGCACCTGTATTGCGCAGAGAGGCCACCGCCTGGCCCAACTCCCACTCCAATCGGCCAAACCCACTATACCAATACCTAGAGATATGCATTTATCATGCCAGAGAGTCAGCTGTATGTATAGGAACAATAATTAACACTAACTATATATAGATATAATATATATATATATATATATATATAATGTGTGTGTATGTATACATAAATATGTATGTTATTTATATGATATATATTATATAAATATATATATATATATATATATATATATATATATATATAAATAGATATTTATATATATTGCAGTATCAGACACACTCATAACCGCGCAAGGCTCAACAGAATTGTTCATCTTACTGGGAATCAGTGACGGCGTTGTCCTTCAGTTTCGGTCCTTTGTCGAAGAACCCTTGTGTTGTGTATCGCACAGTGGTATCCCAGTCCTTGCTATTGTCATTGCAGCCCTTGTTGTACTGTGTGCATGACGGTGCGTATGGAAACCGTAACGTGATCTGTACATCGTCCTCGGGAAGGTTTCCGTTGACGGTGTTGTTGTATATGATTCCTGCGTGGCACAATATGATATCATAAATAAGCAATGTTTACTATCGACACCAATGATGTGAAGTCGGTAACTTGGTTATCGTGCACTCAATACTCACATTTCTGATGGAGCCCCTAATAAATCCCTACATATATTCATACCGCCTCAGAGGACTGTACAAACAGGTAGCCTGTTCATTGTTCTGCGTGGATCCCTCAGAGAGGATCTCATAATGTTTGATAGGAATAGGAGAGGATCTCGATAAGTACTTGATATAGATCCCAACACTGATACAAGTTCTTGAGACTTGTGAATTGTTTCGGATTTTAAAGGTTCGAAACTCTGTGTCCTTCGTACTCCGCTATACATGCATTCTGAGAATATTGACACATCCTCCGGCTCTGCGCCTCTCAATCAAACGACACACTCTTCGATAAAATGTAAAAACTACGTGTGCGTGTATCTTTGCCTCTTATCTTGCTACATCGTTCCTTGGTATAAACACAGCACTAAGTGTTTGTACATACATACAGTTCATTATGCCTTGCTGCGTGGGTGTTCAATTCACCTACTTATCCTGAATAGCCATCTATATACTTATCGTGAAGAGATATCCATATACTTATCGTGAAGAGATATCTATATACTTGTGGCAAATATATGAAATAATAATAGAACAGACACTCGACCAGTATGCAGCTTACCAACAACATCGGGTTTACCGCGACCCAATTCTGCCAATTCAGTTTCGTTATCCGTGCCGGTAGTAATTATACCGCCTCCTTGCTGTTGAGCGATGTACTCCGTTATAATGGCCGCTGTGTGTAGACGAGTCACGTGTAGTATATATGCGAGTGTGATCAGGCTTAGTGTATATATGTATCTATATCTATATCTATATAAATATATAAATAAATATATATATATACATATATATATATATATATATATATATAATGAAGATATATACATGTGTATAAAGATATATATATATATAAATATATATATATATATATATGTACATATACATATGCACTATGCATTGTTTAATATTATTATATATTAATATATAAAAATTATTATACATCTACTGATATAAACTATTTATGTACATACAAACATATACACACGCACACACACACACACATATATATATATATATATATATATATTATATTATATTATATACATATATACTTGTATATATATATTTACTATATACATATATATATATATATATATAAGTAATATATATAATATACATCTATATATATATATAAGTAAAATATAAGTAATATATAAGTAATATATATATATACATGTCTATATAAGTAATATAATATATATATATATATATATATATTAATTGTGCATATATATATAACGCTACATAGTTCAGTCAGATGACCAACTTTTTCAACAACAGTCTATTCAAAAGGCCTTCCGTGGTAAAATGAATAACGAACGCATTCCTGTACTGTAAAAACGGGATATAACTATTCGAAGCCTCACTATGTAATCTTAACACTCGAACATATATGGTGAATATATATGGTGAAACATATGTTTCAGGCGGGAGAACGAGAATTTGCGAATGTTTGAAATGAAAGTCCGTTCGCAAATTCGAAATAAAAGTATATGCAAACATAACTTGTATGCATGCAGGTATACATAACTTACATTGTCCTGACGCAGGATAGTAAAGGTACTGCGTTACATTTGGGTACGGCATCTCATTGATCGCCTGATCTGCGGCATTGAAAACTGCATATATCGGAAACAACAATGTGTCAGTCTACACTGTTGTTTGCTGTGATTCAATTCAACGCAAGATATACAACAGCATTCTCTTGTGCTTGAACAGTTTCTTAAGCTCTTTGCTGCTTCCTATATTCCGCATATTCCGCATACCTGGGCCACCAGACTCGAAAGGCACAATCTGCTTCAGTCCCACCATAATGCTCATAAATAGCACTGGGACTATTATTTCCACTATAGTCCCAATGGGCCTACGGCTTTGCAACTTAAAGTTCTTCCACACCAAAAGGCGGATTTGCGCTAACCGCCCGATCATGGTTTCCTGGAGTGCGTTAACGCCTTCTCAGCTGAAGCTTAGACTAAGTTTATGATGGATATAGTGTCAATGCCAAACCGTTCAGACCTTCAGACGACTCGTTCAGATAGGATACATAGAATGGTCGCTTACTTGGACGATTAAAAGTATACAAGTATTTTATATATTTCTAACTTCATTTTCTTACCATTTATTTTACAGTGAAATACACGTATTTACATAAATAACACATTCGTTCATAGGTCGAGTCATCAAGATGTTCCTCCGACTCAATTCACCCACTTGCAGAAATAAACGTTCAATGTATGTAATAGCGCAGAATGATTAAATTTATACACGTAAAAAACTAAAAAAGATCTACGTACTATTCACTCGAGACGAAAGCAATACGAAAGAATTGCAGCAAAAACGATTGGATTTGAAAACGTTTCATATTGAGAAAGGAACTGATATAGTGATATTTATAAATACATGCGCATAACATTGAGATTTGAGAACAATATGATTTTATCCTTATTAGGATGGCGGCATTTGCACATATTTAGTTTGTCAGCTTTTCTATACGGGACAGACAGTCCAGTCAGGGCCGTCAGCCGCCAGGCTTAGGCAAACTGATGAACAGTGAACAGTAAAAACTGATTACTAAGCTCATTACGTTATGGGTGTAGTTTTAACGGTTTAGACGGTTGTATGTGATACATAAAAACCCCAAAATTGAACTTCGTATTTACACCTAGAAACAACGAAATGGACCATAACCACATATGAAATAAAAATTGAACGTTAATGTTTATTTTTATGTTTTGTAAACGTTTTAACGGGAAACTTTTTGAGAGAGTCTGAACAGTGAACACTCTGGCTGCTGGCACCAGCCACCAGCCACCAGGGCTTGTGGGTGTGGGCGTGTACCCTGTGCCCTGTGCCCTGTGGCACGTCTTGACTCTTGGCGGCCTGAGCAGCTGAGTTGCTCATTGCTGTTTGAAATTTTGATTTTAGTAGGCTATGCAAATTCCAGGCTTGGAGCAAAATTGTATTTACTGTATTTGATTTTTTGAGCCTATTTTTATACATCTCCCTGAAAAAGTGAAAATATAATATTTTTCTTTTAAAACAATAATAATAAATACAGAACAAATACTATTATTTCACTAAACACGAGATACCTCTATTTTTTTTTTTAAATTAAAAAAAGTAGAAGAATCTTGTGTTTAGTAATATGAATAGTCTCACTGTTGCATCTTGTGCCTTCCATTCTCAGCAGTATTCCTAATCCCTCTCGTACTAAAAATAAGACATAATAAGTAGTATCAGTGCCCACTGCCTACATTCGCAGGGACATATCAATACAAAGGAATCCAGTCAAGGTGTGAACTGCGAACATTGAAAACTCCGGCTAGTTGAAAATAATATTATCTACGCTTCGGAACAGTAAGCCAGGGATGTATATACTGTAAAAAGTATGACTACGTTCTCGTTGATTTGCGGCGAACACCTCTTGATCACCGTATACCGCTCAACACTTGCGGTGCAGTATACTACAGAGCTAATAATTCACGATTCTATGATCATAACTATCACGATACAAACATACTAAAGAGTAGCTAAAGTATTAGTTATTCAATATCCCGTGTCTTACTTAGACCAAGCGGCGATCCTGTGCCATAGACCACAGTTAAAACGCTATATTAATTTACATACTAGTTCCAATTGATGTATGCCAGCGACATTCACCAGGGCCATACCACTACAAGCAGTTACATATATCGGCTGGAGGAATATACAGTTACACATGTAGGCTCAGACTATGGAAACCAAGAACAGGCGCTATGCGAATAAAAAATATGAGAATCTGAATATTGCTATGCAAGACAAATATGTTTACTACGAAGAAGACCACAGTTTCTCTATTGTAAAGTGCAGAACCTTGCTCTTGGACCGTGAGTAGCCGTTGTCCCACTCCAGAACAAACACTCCCGATTCCTCCAACGCCCAATCGAAAGTGCACTGAGAGGTATCACTGGCAACTCTTTTGGCCTCCACTACACACACATCGGCTCCTGAAACACTGCCAGTGGTCACCTCAGCCCCATCTGCGCCGTCTCCAGATGTAGCCCGCGTTTGCCTACTAACACCAAAACGGATATCGCCATTATCCGTTGAAAATGCGCAGCTTAT